CTATTTTGTGGTTTGTCCAAATATATTATTAAGCTCAATGTAAGATATATTTCAATGAAGATTTTGAAAGAATTGATCGGGTTTGCACTAATTTAATTTGACCTTTAAAATCTTTATTTATTTATTTATTATACATGATTTATTATTATTATTATTATTATGGCAGATTTGCAAACTTCGACTGTAATTGAATTTACTCTCACAGCAGCTACAAAAGTAAAAATTACAAAACATCTAATAATAGGTCCACCCTTTCAAATCGCAGCTCTTCAATGATCATGCTATTACTAGGGATCGATTCAGCTCATGATTCTCCTTTCTAAAGCAATGAAAGCCAACGTAATATCAATCTAAATCAGAATCAGCAAATGAATCTGCAAAATTTTTCACCCAAAACCCACACAATCAATTTAATCCAAAAGATAGAAGGCAGTGAAAGTGCATATTCAGTGACAGCAATCAATTATAAAGCATTAAAGTGACAGTATTGAAGTTCCAAAACACACTAGGAAAAGTATAGAATCAAACCGGCTCTATCCTCCTAATGAAGCAACTCATTTGAACTCAACAAAGGCCACACTACCATAGCATTTAAGGAGACAACTCTAGCAGGCATTCAAACTCAGGAGACAAGGTTGTCGTTTAATGACAATGAAGCCAGCTGATCAGCAGCAACACCAGTCTGCTGCTGCTGAGCAACAGTCCTCAGAACCTCCATTGCTTCTGCAACCTTGGCTTTTAGAGCATCAGGTGACTCAAGCAAGTGTAAAACCTCAGTCTGATCCATTTCCAGAAGCATCCCTGTCACTTTAGCTGCTGCGTCAGGCTCCAGCTGTTCAACAAGTGGATAGAGATTCTCCCCCAGCATCTACACATATTCAACCAATGTAAAAATTTCAGATAACCAGAATAGTAGTATAAGTTTTTCATTTTCAGAAACTTGAACTGAACCTTTTTAAAAAGGAATAATTACAAAAACGCCATAGCAAGTATTTAGCATCATTTAAATGTATGAAAGAAGGAAATTAAATGTTACCAATAAAAATTCACATCTTAATAGGGGAACTCTATCCTTTTTAAATATTAGGGTATAATACTCTTCAACATAAATTTTAACTTTTGTAATTAACCCTTCTAAAATTGACTAAAATGCGGTACAAGTATAATCTAAACTTGGAGAGCATAACTATACAGAACATAAAAATAACAAATAAATAAAGCAAAGCAGTGCATACCGTTCTTTGCTGATCTGGAGTAGCATTTGCAAGTGCCGAGGCCAAGGCTCCTATTGGAATTGGCTGAGAAAGTGAAGTATCACGCATTGGCATGCCACCCATATCATATGGAACAGCAAGCATGCCTCCAGCAACATTGGGCATTGAAACATCAGGTAGGCCACGCCCTGATGGATAGCGATAGACCCGCCCTCGGGGTAGAATCTGATATTTAAATGAACCATCAGATGAAGTATTTACAGATATGAACATCTTTATAAAAGATATTACAAAATCCAAGAAGTGATTAAACAAACCTGCTGTTGCATTAATGGAACCGGTTGCTGACTTTGCTGAATGGCCCCAGCCCTTCTGCCACCAGGACGCTGACCCTGCTGGCCTTGCTGAACCATTGGCACAAAGAAATTTGGCATGGGAGCCCCACCAGGCCTCATACCAGGGATAAGCTGCTGTTGATATCCAAATCCAGCCTGGCAGGAAAAAAATAAAAAGGTCCATAAATTTCTAAAGCAGGTCTACAAATACATTGATTACTCCGGAAAGTTAAAATATACCTCTATGACTAAGAATGCCAAGAAATAAAACGCAAAATAAATATTTACCTGAGGAGGAAAAATAGCAGGAGGTGTTTGACTATAGAATATTTGCTGCCCAAGACCTGGACCACCAGGTGGGTACATTGGCATACGAGGTGTAGGTGCCATTGCAACTGGTCGCATTTGAGAAAATTGAGCCTGTAAACAACCCATTACATGCTTGAGCATACTAAAGAATCAAAACCATCGTATTGCCCCAGACTCAAAGCAAATATCAAGAGAACATACCTGCAACCTAGCTCTCCTATCTTCCTTCCTTTGAGCTAGTGCCACATAGAGAGGTTTGCTTACAACCATTTTGCCATTCATCTCCACAAGCTGTCATAATAAGAAAAACTATTAGCTTATGATAAGATCATGAAAGTAAGGACAGCATTCTCATCTTACAGCTCTAGATGCTTCTTCTGGAGTTGAAAATGCAACAAACCCAGATCCTTTACTTATTCCATTAGGGTCTCGCATAACCTGTTAAATTAAATAATTGGCATCAGTCAACCGATTACCAGAATCCATTGAATTTAACTATTCTAGAAAACATGCTAGCAAACCTTGCATGATGCTATGGTACCATATTGAGAGAATAACTCTTTAAGTTTTTCATCGCTTATGCTATCATCCAAATTCTTAACATACAAATTTGCACCTTGAAATTTATCCGCTGCCTCTTTCATTGTCTGCTCAAATTTAAGTTTCAGTTCAACCTCCCTTTCAGATTTTTTTTGAGCTTTCCCAACATACCACTCCTTATCATCAAATTTCTTTCCATTGAGGGACTCAACAGCAATAGCAGCATCATCTGCATTCTCAAAGTTTATAAACCCAAAGCACTTGGATTTCCTATCTGGTTCCCTCATCACCACAGCACTAGTGATTGGACCAAATTCACCAAAAATGTTCTTCAAATCTTCTTCACTTGTTGATTCTGAGAGATTCTTTACATAGACATTGTTAAATTTTGTCTTGCTAATAGAAGTGTCTCTTTCCTGCTTTCGAACAAAGGGGCCCACATACACTTGCTTATCATTAAGTAGCATACCATTCAACTTCTCTATTGCTTTTTGGGCAGCTTCCTCATTGTCAAATTGCACAAAGCCATAACCTTTTGAATTGCCAGAGGGGTCTGTGGCTACCTTGCAAGAGAGAATGTTTCCAAATGCAGAAAATGTATCATGCAAAGCTTTTTGGTCGATGCCCTTATCTAAATTCTGCCAGATCCAACAAGAACAGAAAACAAACATAAAATAAACCATATGAGATTTGTGAAAAACAGATTATAAAACAAAGCTGCATATGAAACCACACGATTGTCAATTTTTCATTGCCTTGATAAATATATTCCCAGAGCCACTTTTACGAAGACTAGGGTCACGGTTGGAGTACATAATCCGGATAGGCTTTCCATTTAGAGGAGTGAAATTCAGAAGGTCCAATGCCCTTGCAGCTGTAAGTAAACAGAAGAGGATGTCATGCAGAATAAAGAGCAAACATTTTGTTTTCTAGGAATCAATGGTGAAGGCAAAATATTAGTAAGTTTTTTTCAAATAATATGTACTAATAACGAAAGCCACAGCTTGAGTTGGTCTCCAACTCCACCTTGCTGATAGAGACAAATGTGGTTGATGATTTACAAGGAAGCCTGAGAAGATAACATAGAAGCATTTGGAAGTAAGGATATACTATGCATTACTCTCTTTCCGTTAGGCTACAATCTCACATTCTGCTGTTTTTATCTTTATAAACTTCCTTCATTTCTGTCTATTTCACAAGCACTTATAGTATTACGTTTCCTATTTTCTCTCTGGCTAATCATTCTCCTTTCACCCATTACAAGGTATTGAGAAAGGCCAAGTACATATCACCACGTGGCTTCTATGGGTTGGTATGGGAAGATACGCTGAAACGGAAATAAACAGGAATGAAAAATCCCCATATAAATACTCACTTAATGCACCTCAACATTAAGTATATGGTTAATAGTTCACTTGGTATCAAAGAAGGCTCCATGAGGTAAAGCTCCTGGCTGCTTGATACACAGTAATTCAAGCCAAACTGAAACAAAACGGCGTTTGCTATATTTCTCTAATAAAAAGACGAGATTTCATCTAAAGCAGAAAATCAACAGTGAAAATTCATGTGAAGAACAAGTTTACACTTCAGAGAACACAGTCAAAACTTACATTCATTTCCTGCCTATATCAGCTTGATAATGTAATGTGCCCTTGAAAATTTTTACTGGAAAAAAAGGTATCATCCATTTCAAATTGAACCAACTTAACCTTTTCCGTCCTTTCATAATTCATCCAAACAAAATGCAAAAGTAAGTCTAAAACTTAAATCATTAGTCAAATTACATTTGTAAAACCATTCAAAATACCAATCAAAGCAACAATCCATTATTAAACAAGGCAAATAAAGGAAAGTAAAAATCAACAAATCTACACTAGACAGAATACTTAGCAAGGAAAACCAAGAAAAAAAAAAAAAAAAAACCTAAATCTTATAAAACTGAAAACTAACCTTCCTGAGGGTTGTTATAGTTGACATAACCATAACCAAGAGACCTCCGGGTTGACAAATCCTTGCAAACACGAACCGTAACCACTTGACCCACCTGGTTAAAGTACTCATAAAGCTGTGTTTCCGTCACACTCAAATCTAAATCCCCAACATAAAGCGACGTCGTTACAAACGGGTTATTCCCCCCTCCAGCTCCGTTGTTGACACTCACATTTTGCCCCGGAATTTGAACCTGTGCCATCTTTCTAAAACAACAGCTAAAACCCACCCAAAAAAAACCTTTTTTTTTCTAGGTTTTCTCTCTTTTTTTTTTTTTTTTGGGTTTTTCTTTCTTCCCTCTCCTCTTGTTATTAATCAACAAAACCTAGAGAGATAACTGATATTAGCTAAAACCCAAGTGCTTTGATAAACCTTCCTAAAGAAGCAAACTTTCTTTTCTTTTCTTTTCTTTTTTTTTTTTTTTTGGTTTTTTTAAAGGGAGGAGAGGGAAGGGAAAGAAAGGGATATGGATATTTGCTGCCGGCTGAAGAGGAAGAGGTGGCGGCGCGTGCGAAGATGAAGTTTGAGAATTGAGTAAAAGGAGAGGTTTTGAAGGAGTAGCAGCAACCGCATAGAGAGGAGTTTTTTTTCTGAAAAAACCCTTAGTTGGTTCCTAGGACGAGATCTCCGCCGTTGGATTTGGTTTTGGGGAACTTCTTTGTAGGGCCCAAAATGACGAGGTAAAAGATAACAATGCTAGCCATGGATTTGAGTAAATTTCTTGAAAGGTCACTAACTATATTATGTCATAAATCTCAATTAGATCCTTAAACTTTAATTTATCTTAATAATGTCACTCAAATTTGTTAAATATATTAAACTTAGCCACCCTAGCAGATTTCATCAAAAAAATAACGAAAAAATGATAAGACTGCCGCATAAAGAACCAGGTAGTCTGTCACGTAAGTTTTAAAATAATTTACCACGTCAGCTTTTTTTTCACCCAAACCTAAAAATTTTCTTTTTTGTCCTTTTATCTCTCGAGTTGTCGATGCTTCCTCTCTTTTCACTCCCCTTCGACAGTCATTGGGTCATGGTAATATTTTTGTGCTTCGGAATGAAGTTGAAGAAAAAGAAATTATTGGTGGGTTTTGGATGGATCAGGGGATCGAGAACTTGTGTCTCATGGAGTTCGAGGAATATACTATGGCTATGGCGCTGAAGGACTAGAGAAAAAAAATGCAATGATTAGATTGGAGGAGTTGAGCATCCAAAATTCTACTTGTTTATGGCCATGAGCATCCAAAACGTAAGTATAAATTTATAAGTATTTTTGTTGTTTCTATTTTTTTTAATTTCTCTTTTATGATAAAATTTGGTTTTTGAGAATCCGAAGCTGAAATTTTGAAATGGGTTATGTTTGGTTTTCGATAAATGAAGGAAAATTTAATAAAAATTGGAAGTTATAAACTTGAAAATTTTAATCCATTCAACCCCATCTTGGTTAACTTATACCTAAATGAAAATTTTGTTTACTATTGGCTTTGGACCCTGAAGCTTAATTATAGTTAGTTTGGTTCTGATTGGTTGTTGAGAAAATGGAGGAAAAAGAAAGAGTAAATTATGTAGCAGGAAACTTGATTTAATCAACTTAGGCCATGATAAATCCTGAAAGTTAGTAGCTTTATTAACAGGTTGTGCTTTACTGGGTAGCTGCATTCTGGTTCATTGGGTCTTGGATGATTCCTTTTGCAACTCACATGACAGTGTTCAGCAAGGAATCTCTAACTTTCAGAGGACAAGCCTTGTTTCACCTTATAATTGAAGCAACTGAAGGCCTTGCTGGGATTGCAACACGCCAGCGCTGTCTGTCTCAGTTTCATCCCCTTCCATCAGATTGGTTTAAATTTAGCTTGAGAGGGCAGTGGCATTTTAATGTTGTGCTAGGATGCCTCATGTTTCCTGTTGTCAACCGATTATCACAGTTCAACCTCAACTTGTTGTCCCTTATGCCTTCTGCACCTGTAACCCTTACAGAGCACGCGGTACATCAATGCTCCACGACTCTTATAATAGTGCATGTGGGAGTGGTTTGATTACAAAAACAAACATGTTAGCTTTTGCAACATCCTTAGTCATCCGACATTGATCCATCTCTCATGTACATGATCGTCGAGCACTGTATAAAAATCAAATGGTGCAACTGATATTTTCACATCTTTGTCTTATTTTTCCATTGAAGACCCTTATTTCTAACTAACTACAAAGTAAATATACGAGATCAATACAATTAGGCTATTGTCTTCGTTGGGGGACTTGACCAATGATGCAGAGCTCAAATCTTTATCTTGTCATATATAAAATGCTTACATCTGTAAGTCTTCTGTTTTGAAGAGATGAAACAAAGTACTTTGAAAATCTAAGGCTCAAATTTGCAGAACACATCTAATGATATTTTTCAATTAAAACATTATCATCAATCCAAAAATTTAAGCACAAGTTGACAATATATATGACATCCTCAACTCATTTATGCAAATAATTTTTTTGGTAGATGAAACAAACCCTTTATTACAAAATAAATGTTATCTTAACATTCTCACTATCATCAAACTTCAATTTAAAATGGACTATTTTTAACCATAAATGCAAGAGAATAATTTATGCAAAAAAAAGGTAAAAGCTTATGTTCAAGCATGCTCTCTCCCCCTTGAGGTTGAGGTAGATCCTCTACTATTTTGAGATGCTTGAGTCATGATTCTAGATGGTATCAGCAGAGCTTTTAACAGGTAAGAAAGATCCAATTTGTGTTTGGCTTGTACTCTGAGTATAACATTTTAATGTGCATGTTAATTTAATCATAATACTACAAGGTCATAAAATAAAATAAAATGGGCACTTACATCAGGCATCCATTGGACTGTAAACAGAGGTTGGGGATATTGGGTGGCAGTAACTATAGATTGTTGTTGCTGGGAAGATGAGGAAGCTTGATTTTGTGAATTCTTTCTCTTGACCTATGCATAATGAAATAAATGAGAGACATATAATACAAGTCAAATACATACAATGAATATAAAATAAAGTAAAATGTAAGCAGTATAACACACTGGTAATTTTTCCTTATATTTTCAGAGGTGGTGTTGGCTTGAAGAAACCTCTTGTTATGGCCTTTTTGTCCACATATGCTACAAGTCATTTTCACTCCATGTTTGGTTATTTTATGAGACAGTACAGAGGCATTTTCTTTCTCTTTAGGTTCTTTTCTCCTCTTTTATTGTTTCCTTCCTTTTTTTTTTTTTTCTTCAGGTAATGGTGGTGGGATGACAGGACGTCTTCCACTTTTAGACTACATTTGTTTTCCATTAATTGGATGAACAATATAACCATAAATCTACACAAAACAAAAATGATTGAAAGATGAATTATACCATTAAGTTATAAAAAAAATTAAATAAATATTCGATAACACACCTTCAAGTAATTCTTTATTAACATTCATCCACAAATGATCTAATTTCTCATGATAGATGCAAGCAATAGCATGTGGACATAGGAACCCTGTTAGTTGCCATTTTCTACAAAAGCATTCATAGGCTTCCAAGTCAACCACCAATTGTGTATTCGGAGGGTCCACCTCATGCATTAAAAATGAAGGATTTGGGCAATGCACTTGAAAGCTTTTAGCACCAGACCATTTAGGAGTACGGTTGAATGATTGTTCTTTGGCTTTATCTAACTTCTTTTGGATCTTAGGACCTATGAGGCTAGAGTATTTTTTTCATGGCCTCTCTTTTTCACCCATAACCTTCTCATTAACTTACACCTAATCATCTCCATCATCATGAGTATTGGTTTATTCCTAGCATTTAGAATGTATTTATTAAAACACTCACATACATTGTTAAGTAACATGTTAGATTTAACTCTACTCGAGAAGTAAGACCTAGACCAATGCCTAAATGGTCTTTCACACAACCAATCATGTGCATGAGACGAAAGCCTATTGATCTTTCTCATCCATCTATCAAAGTCAGCTACAAAAGTTGCCTTAGCAGCATTCCAAAACAAGTCTTTTAAGATTTTACCTTTATGGCCCTCATTATCTCCAAAGTTGTTGTACATGTGCCTAACACAACATTTGTGCTCAGGCTTAGGAAACATCTCTTCTAACGTTTACTCTTAGTCCCTATAAGATACAATGATAAAAATATTGAAATTAATAAGTGTATTTATTAAAATAAATAAACATTCAAATTATAAGAGGAGCATACCTTTTGTTTATCAGGTATAAATGGCCAATCATAATTGTTTTCAATTCCAATATCCTCTGATAATATTTTCAAAAACCAACCCCAACTTTCTTTATCCTTTCTTTCAACCACAGCGTAAGCAATTGAAAATATGCAATCATTTGGATCAAAACCAATAGCAACTAGCATCTATCCACCGTATCTCCCTTTTAACCAATACCCATCCAGCTAAAAACCCATCTTTACAAGCATGAAAACAAACATACATTTTTTGAAATAGTCTATTGTCTAAACCCAAAATGGTTCTACTCCCTGAATTTGTCCTCAAAATCTCCTCGCAGTAATCTTGAAGGATTGTATATTGTTCCTCATCAGAACCCTAAATCTTTCTAAGTGCGTATTGCTTAGCTTTATGTACAGTTATCTTAGAGATATCTAACTGCAACTCTTGTCTTAGTTTGTTTTGCAAGCCACTTGCGGACCAATTTGGATCAGCCATAAAATCATTCAAATACTTCATTCCAAGAAACTTGTAATTAGCAAATTTATTCTCATATTCTTTGTTGCATGTATGAGTATCAACATAAGTTTTTATCTGGACAATGGACCCGTTTTTATAATGGCTAACCCAAATCCTCCAAGGACAACCACTTTTGCATTTTGCTTGACCCGATACTTGTCATTAGGATCAAATTTGATTTTACAGTTATTGATAATTGAATATTGAGTACAGGCTCACTACAGGGGTTTTGATTTTTAGTGACGTTTTTTTAATCATTTAGTGGCGTTTATTAACGTCACTATAAGGTTGCGACATTTGTGAAAAAACGTCACACAGAGTGTCGCCTATACACGCGTCGCGGTAAATAACGGCGTTTTCGAAAAAACACCTCAATATTAGCGGCGTTTATATGTGAAGCACCGTCATTTTAGTGGCATTTATATCTTAGAGACGTCATTATTTTCAGTGGTGTTTTTATGAGAAAAATGCCATTCCATTGAAATCATTTGTACCAAAAACGGTTGTTACTTTGCATGACGTTTGAATATGAAAACGCCTCAATATTTATGACGTTTGTATCTTTTAGGCGCCACTAATTCAGTGGGCATTGTTATGAGAAAAATGCCATTGCTTTAGTAATGTTTCTATAAAAAATACCACTGAACTAGCGGCGTTTACTGGAAAGAGCACCGCTACTACTAGTAGCGTTTTATGCTACAAACGTCACTAAATTATTCATTTAGCGACATTGGCCAACACAAACGCCACCATTATGCAAAAATGTTTTTTTTTACAATTTTTATAATAAATTTTATTTTCAATAAAGAGTTTAAATTCAGAAACTAAAATTAATATTAACTTCATTCACGTTTAAATATACACTTAATTAATACAAAGTTTAATAATTAGTATAATAACATTCAAATATTGTAAATACATTACCTAAATAAAAAATTAAAATGTATGAAATGGATGACTACATACATTTTGTTGGCTCCCAATTGATGAAGAAAATTTTTCACCTTGATCACTAGCGTGCTCAACAACCTACTAAATAATACCATACAATTTTTAACACTTCATTGTATGCTTATTTTTTATTTAAAAATTTTAATATTTATTAAATATAATACCTGAGTTGATGGAGCACCAAGATCATTTCTTGAAAATTGTTGTTGCATAAAATTCATAAGATGATCGAATCGATCATACAACTGCTAAAAATTTATAAGCTTTAGCTTCATTCTAGTACGTTCTTCTTCAATTTTGGCACGCTCCTGTTCTCTTTCTGCTTTCATTTGCTGAAAATGTTGTTGCATAGTTTGCAACTCTTCTCTCAATATTGAAATATCTCGCGAAGACTGATTTACTGATAGTGTAAATTACATAGAGTTATATCCATAGTAGGCAGATGGTGTTGGACCCAATCCAAGGCCTCGGACCCGTCCATGCCTTTTTTTTTCAACAATTTATATGAATATTCGATTTTTCATTTCTTGCATGTTGAAAGAACCTTCAGATGTTACTTCAATCTCAGCGATCATTTTTTCTTTCGCTTTCTTTTGTGAATTTGTCATATACAATAATCAAGTTTAATGACTAATTGATTATATGTTAAAAACAGTTAATATTTACTTTATGTTAAAATAGATGATACAAATTATCACAATTTCTTATGTTTCGACATTCATGTAAGATCCATATTTTTTTGTGTGTGTTACACGAAAAAGTTTCACACATCCAATTGTACTGTCCATCTCATTCTCCTATACAAAAACATATATTATTTGATAGGATACATATCAACCGTAACTTATTTATGTATATCAATCCTGTCAATCAAGTATTAAAATTTTGAATAACTTTAATCTCTTTTATTTATATTTTAGCTCTGTAACAACACAATAGTCTTAAATATACATAAAGAATAAATGCATTTTAGACTTTTACACATATCGATCATAGAAACCATATTCAATTATTTTCTCTCGGTTTAATATAAAGGATTGAAGTCATTCAATATGTTGAAAGGCATCCAAAATTTATTTGTATATTTACTTTTTATATGCAAAAATATTCCCAAACAGAGATAACGAATAACTTTTTCTCCCATATCCACCATAGAAACCAATTTCAATCAATTGGACAAGCTTAACATCAAGTATTGAAGGTATCGAAACTATTAAAAATCAACAATAACAACAACCAGATAATAAAGGCGTAAATATACGTAAACAATAATCTTTCATACATATCATCTGTGTAACTAAGTTCAAAACTTTTGATAAGTTTAATATCATGTATTGAAACAATCAAATCTATTAAAACAGAACAATAAATGTTAATTTCCATATTTACCTTTCAACGGTAGAAAAAGTTCATTAATTAAAATCAGTTAATTATCATAAACTTACGATTTCTTTTTACTTTCTACAAAACTTTTTGATCAACTTGTGTGGCATATTTCTGTTGCTTTCTGCTACCAATCCCAATCTGTTATCTTTCCTGTCATAAAAAATAATTATCTATATG